AGGCAGATCAATGAAGTACACTGCTGAGGGGAGCAGCGGGCGGGTCAGGAGAGGTCTGCCGTACCATGTGGTCAACTCTGGGGCAGGCAGGGATCAAACTCATGCTGAAGTGGCTTGAGCTTCTTAGTGCTATGCTTTAACCCACTGCACCACCAGGGAGGGCCCTACTCTTCATTTTTGATAAAACTAATTTGTGTTCCTTGATTAATATGGCTAGATATTTATCAATTTTGTTTATAGTTTCAAAGAACCAACCTTTTACTTTGTCTTTTTGAAACACCAATAGTTTTTGTTTTGACCTTGTTTTCTTTCTTTAAAATTTTCAAGACACTTAGATCATTGCTTTAGATCTTATTTTTTAAATGAGCATTTAATTAAAGTATAAACTTCACTTTAAATACTGCTTTAGCTATATCCTACAAATTTCCGTATGCTGTTTTTACTGAATTCAAAATATCTGGTAATTTATTTGTTGACCATGGGTTACTTAGAAGTGTTGTTTTGTTTTTAAGTATTAAGTATTAAGACACTTTTTTTTTTTTAAGATTTATTTATTTATGCATACAGAGCTGGGGTACAGGCCAGATGTGCAGGGACGGTGAGAGGATTCACCAGAGACAGAATGGGGAGCAGAACAGGCAGATTGACAAAGTACACTGCTGAGGGGAGCAGCGGGCCGGCGAGGAGAAATCTGCCTTGCCATGTGGGATCACCTCTGGGGCAGGCGGGGATCAAACTCATGCGTAGGTGGCTTTAGCTTCTTAGTGCTGTGCTTTAACCTGCTGAGCCACCAGGGATGGCCCAGAAATACACCTTATTGTTACTGGTTTCTAATGTAATTTCATTGTGGTCAGAGAACATAATCTGTGGGATTTCAATTTTTTAAAAATAATTGAGACTTATTTTATGACTCAGCATATGATCTGTCTTGATCAGTGTACCCATATACAGTTGGAAAAAAAAGAATGTTTGCTTATCTGTTCTTTGTCTGCCAAGTAGGCCAAGGTGATTATTGGTTGTTTAGCAATATATATTGCGCACACACACACATAAATATATCCAATAAGTTTTTTTCCCTATCAATTAATAAGTGAAAGTTGTTAAAGCTCTCTAACAATGATTTTGGGTTTGTCTTTATCCCCCCTTTAATTCTACCAGTTTTCTTCATGTTTTTGAAATTCTGTTATTATGTGCATGCATACTTATAATTGTTATGCTCTATTGGTAATGTGAAATATCATTATCTTTGGTAATAGTCTTTGACTGGAAGTCTACTTTATCTGACATAAAGTAAAAGTTTTCTTTTACTTACTGAATGTATGGTATATCTATTTCTATCACTTTTCTTTGAACATAGATGTATCTTTATAGATAGCATGATACTGGATTTTGTTTTTAACTGCAGTGCTTATTCTAGTTAAATTAAATGTAGTTATTGTATGCTTGCTTTTAGTTTCCCATTTTGCTTTTCGGTTTTTCCTCCTTTTTTTGTAGGTTACTAATGTTTTAGAATTCCAGTTTACTCTTTTAGCTTTTAGTTTTTAGTGTTTTAGGAATTATTTCTAGGTGTTATGATATATAAGGCATATATTTTTTAACTTTTTATAGTTTAATATTGGACTACTTTATATAGTATTGTGAAGTTCTATTACCCCTTCTCTTTATGCTCTCGTCACATTAGTTAACATATGTATCTTAAAGAAGATAAAGTAAAAAAGGATAGCCTTATTTATTCATATACTTACTAATTCAAGTGTTTGTCCTTTCTTCCTGAAAATTTCTTTTTTTCCTTTACTCTTGGGTAAACCTCTGATTATTCCAGATCCTTTTTTATACACTTACATAGGTGGGAGGGTTTTTTTAAATATATATATAATAGTTTATTTTTTATTTTTTAATTTAAGATTTACTAAGATGATGTACTTGAGACTCATTATTTTCAAGCTAATTTTAGGCTTTTTATTATATTTTTACAGTATTTCTTGCGGTTTGTCCGTATCATTATATTTGTTCCTTTTCAATGGTCAAAAACAAAATTTCATTTTTAGGTTCTATTTTTTTGCATATTGATTGAATATTTCAATCTATTCTTCATATTCATTGTCTACCTCCTGCAATGTTTTTATTATTGATTTGCCAATTTTCTTTGCATATTGTTGATACTTTGCATATTAAAGATAGTTTATCTTTTTGTACATCATGGTTTGTTTTTTCATGGTTTATCACTTTTATTTAGTTTATTTCACAATACTGAAAATTATTAATTTTTTCTCATAATTAAAAATAGGTTGTAATATGTGTAGAATCAATTGTATTACAGTAAATCCATTTTCAGATTATAAGTTATATATTAAATGATAACTCTGATTATAGGATGGGCCCCTTTTAAAGTTCTTGGTGAAATCTCTTATCATAGCTCATTCTCTAAGGTTCTTGAGCAGCATTCACCTTTATTTTTTTACATTTTAAAAGGATAGCTTTATTAGAAAAAGGAGGTTATAAAAGAGACACCTGCATAGTCACAGGTGTGCAGAGAAGGAACTAACAACATTCTTTCTTTTTTTTTTTTTTTAAAAAGATTTAATTATTTATTCATATAGAGCTGGGGTACAGGCCAGAGATGTGGAGGGTGAGAGGATTCACCAGAGACAGGGAGGGGAGCAGAATAGGCAGATCGACGAAGTGCACTGCTGAGGGGAGCAGCGGGCGGGTCAGGAGAGGTCTGCCTGGCCATGTGGATCTCCTCCAGGGCAGGCGGGAATAGAACTCATGCGAAAGTGGCTTAAAATTCTTGGTGCTGTGCTTTAACCCGCTGCGCCACCAGGGAGGGCCCGGAACTAACAACATTTTAAAGGTGAATGTTGGCCAACCTTACTTTGTATAGTTTGACTTGTCACTAATCAAAAGGGGTAGATTAGTGAAAAGGGGATTTATCTTGGTAAATTCTGGCATTTCTTAAATGTCTCTGAAGACCTAAAGCTGTAGGGTAGCCCTCTTCTATGCTTTGCTATATTCTGGACTAAGTTAGATAGTGTGCAATGACAGAGACTTATTGGGGAATTTTGAAGAAAAAAGAAGAGCTGTGGTATCAAATCTTGTCAGGTTCTAGTAATTATAAATGGTTTGGACCATATATGGTTTTTACCAAAATAAAATAAATACTATGGTAAATAAACATAATGATCTATGACTGTCTTCCTTTCCAGAGTGTGAAAAAGTATATACTCTGGTAGTTATTACCACAAAGCTGCTTAGGTATATATGAGGCTTAGAGGAGGGAAGAAGTTTGTTGAGATTTTTAGGAGCATAGCCATTCTACCATGAGGTAGAATGTGTAACAAATTCTTCTAGAAAGACACCAAGGGAAATTTTTATGTTAAATGAAACCTTTTAGTTAGGGCATAAAAGGTGAGGAGACATGCTGAAAAGGAAATGTTGCATGTCATATTTTGCTTTGTTCAGTTAGTATCTTGTGAAACTGCAAAGTACCAGGCAACTGTACTAATAAGTATCACTGGTACCTGATCAGTCAAGCTTAGTGTATGCTTAAAGTAATCATAATTTGGGAGAACATAGAATTTGAAATTCTTTGCCTTTTTCTAGAAAGGTAAATTCCAAATATTAAGTCATTTAAATTATAAATAGAAAAACTACATTGTTTAAAAGGTTAATGGCACTTAGTTTTTTTTTTTTTTTTTTTAAGGTTTATTTATGCCTGCAGAACTGGGGTACAGGCTAGATATGTGTGGTGAGTGAAAGGATTCACCAGAGACAGAGTGGGGATTAGAACAGGCAGATCTACTGAAATGCGCTGCTGAGCGGAGCATGGGTGGGTCAGGAGAGGTCTGCCACGCTCTGTGGATCAGCATTCTGGCTGGGGATAAAACTTGTGCTGCATTGGCTTCAGAGAGCTTCATAATGTGATGCTTAATTAACCCATTGCTTAACCCGATGCTTAACCACTAGGGAGAGCCCTTAGTTTTATTTTTAATAATGACCATTTATAATACTTTATACAATGACTATATATGCATATTTTTGTTTGGGTAATTTCAAATTTGGAGGAAGGGGTAAATTTTCTTCTCCTCCTTTTTTTGATTTTAGCCAGATGCCACTTAACATCTGGCAGTTAACATCAAAGCTGTAGTAGAACAGCTATTTGAAAAGAGTAAGCTGAAAGTAGTCAAGTATTCATCTTTTGTTCATGTTCATCTCTGGTGGCAATAGGTGGGTCTTTTGTTACATTGAGTCCACAGTGTTGTGCTTCATCTACCTGGGCTTGTAGGTGTTAAGAATTCTCCCTTTTTTGCTGTTCTCAAAGGCAGGGTTTCTCTCCCTGCAGCTTGTTTTTCTGTTGTGTAGGAGGAATGATTAGAGTTGATGTACAAATGATATGGAAATTTTATGTCAGAATTTAGTTGACTTTTGGCTGGGAGCCCTCTAGGTGACAGCTACATCCTTTATAATTAAGGAGCCTGAGCTCTTAAAGGTGGTATTAAGTTAGACACAACTTGAAATTCACAATGAATTGTCATACACTTTTAGAAAATACTGTGCAGATAATTGAGGAGATTAAAGTAGGTTAGAAGCTAAAATCCAGTGCCTATTTTAAAGTTAATAATATTTTGTGACTTCTTGGTCTGTTCCTTTGCGAACACAAACTAACACATATATG